GTCTGTACTGCTGGGGTCCAAGCCCTCCCACCCTTCCCTGCTCTGAGAGTTGCAGATCTGGCCAGTCAAGCTCATCTTCCAGGCCCCCTGCAGAAGCTCCTGTCAAATCCACAACTTGCCTCCAGCCAGCAGGAATGACGCAGCCCTTAGCCTGCCCACCACCCTCAGGTTGAAAGTTGCCCCTTGATGACGGACTTCGACTTCAACGCTGCCATGATTACTCTTTCATTTTTTAAATGTTATTTGTGTTGTTAACATAGTATGACATATACATACATACATACATATACATATACATATACCCCCTGCACAGAAAGATTGCTTTCTTACTTATCCTGCCCAGCTCTTGCCTGTTACCCCAGCAGTAAGTGCTGCAGACTCTTTTTCTTGTTTCTTCTAGTGTTTATCTCTGTATTTTAAAATAGTGTCTACCTTGCTGTTTGGTCATCTGCTCAAGATCTCTTTTGACTTCTTGTTGTTGGATAGGATTTAACTCTCACTCTCCTCCTCATGTTCCTTGCTTCCCTTGTCCTCCTCGTACAGTCATATCAGATTTTCTGGTGCCGCCATCAGTCAGTGTTTACTTTGGATGATGCACATACGTGAATATTGTTCAGTGCAGAGCTCTGTGGTATACATTTTCTTGTATAGTTTTTGTTTTTTTCCTGTTACCTAAGCCCCCATCCTTTCTGTGTGGCTATTAGATCTGTCAACCACCTACTAATACTATTTTCCAAGTATTTTGACTGTGTAAGGTCATCTGTCAGTTCTCTTTTTTTCCTAGGGTTTCTCATCCCCCTGCCCCAGCGTGGACAAGGTGCCACACAGCCATCGTCCTGGTCACTGGTTTCAGTTTAATTTACGTTGCCCTGGTAGGATGCAGGGGCCAGCAAATAGCCTTCTGGTGCACTTTACCTTGTACCTCATATTGATCTCTGGTCTTGACCCCCAGATCTCCGGGGAAGATTCTCTGAGAACATGATGAAAGCTCTGAACACTCTTCCCAAAACACAAAATTGGACATGTAATTTTGTGAATGTCTGTAGACATGTGTGTAACTTACCTATAATACTTTGGGGAGGTGTGTGTGTAAAGCTGACAACTGTAGAGTTCCATGTAAGCTTTTAATGCCTAAGCTCTACTATTATGGTTGAAGTCCAACTCTAACCATAGTACCCAAACATCTCCTGTTTTTACCAATAAATAGTTCTTTTCTCTCGACCATTTTATCATCTCTTAGTATTTGATGGAATGAATTCGTTTCCCAAATTTTAATGACTTGTGGATTTATGGAATCCTTCTATGAAATCACTTCTGTGTTACATTTTTTGACCTTTGGTGTTAATTTATTTCTCCCTCCAACTGTTTTATGTATTGATGTATTTGCTGTGTTGAACTGCAATGACCAGGGAGCTGCTTTCCCACAAGCACAGTGTCACTTAGCAAGGTAACTCCCAACGAAAGAGACTCTACGGACACACAGACTCTAATCTTCCTAGTGAACAGCTGCCTTCTGGGGTCACTGGCAAGAGGGATTTTCCCCTCTGCATGGAAGAAAGTGACACGATCACACAGTCACCCTGTGGTTGAGCTCGCATTAAGACAAACTCCAAGGGACTGTACTTAGATTAGAATTTCATTAGATTGGATATTGCTTGAAGTCAAGTCCTCTGTGGTTGAGATTTGTAACGTCTCTGTGTTTGTCTACTCGTCGGGCAGCTGCCTTTTTCCAGGCAGTGCCTTTAGTTTGAAGTAGGACATGACCTATATTCTTAGTCCTCAGAGATTATTTTTGTAGTCATTCATTGTGAATGACTAAATTTTTAAAAATGAAAGACTGAGTTTAACTAAAAGCCAACTTCTAAAAATGTCAAAGTAATTGGATTTCAACCAGTTTTGTTATGTGGCATCTTAATTGGCATGTTCCATCTTAATGGACTCTACAGTTGTTTTTTCAGATTTCTAAGTACTTTATTGATCTTTAGAAGAAAAGGACAACAGGAAGTGTTTTTAGTCAGCATTGTCAGACTGTAATAGAAACAGTATGGCAGTCCCATGTCACCAACCCTTCCTTGAAATTGTCAATAATATTAACGTCACTTCGATTAAAAAAAATGACGCTATCCCTTCAGAATGTAAAACTGATTCCATTTGGATGACTTTCAGTGAAAAGAGCGTGAGGTACTGTGTGAAGACCATCTTCAGTGTGGTTGTGGGGACGCGAGGATAGGTGAGACTGTCACGAGCCCCGCTGAAAGGGCAAAGTTGTCACCAGGCCTCTTGACTTTGGATGAAGGGTCCAAGGCAATAGGAATATTTGAGACAAAAGGCCAATATTGGGATGTGATGATAACTCTTGCAAAATGAAACTGTAAAACAAGTTTGAAGGGGCACCCGGGTGGCTCAGTCGGTCGAATGTCAGATTCTTGATTTCGGCTCAGGTCATGATCTCATGGTTCATGAGTTCGAGCCCTGCATCAGGTTCTGCGCACTGACCGCCTGCAGAGCCTGCTTGGGATTCTCCCTCTCTCTCTGCCCCTCCCCCCACTCGCACTCTCTATGTCCCTTTCAAAATAAATAAATAAACTTAAAAATATAATAATAATACAAGTTTGAAGACAAATCACAAGAAATAGTGACAAACTGCCAAACTTAATGCGAAAGTAGGTATATTTTGACAAACAAAATTACAAAGTTACAGTACTTTTTTCTTTTTTTAAAAAAATTTCAGGGGCACCCTGGTGGCTCAACTGGTTAAGTGGCAACTTTGACTCAGGTCATGATCTCGTAGCTCGTGGGTTCAAGCCCCGCATTGGGCTTGGTGCTGACAGCTCAGAACCTGGAGCCTGCTTCAGATTCTGTGTCTCCCTCTCTCTCCTGCTGTCTCTCTCTCTCTCTCTCTCTCTCTCTCTTTCTCTCTCTCAAAATAAACATTAAAAAATTTTTTTTAATTTCATGTTTAATCTTTGGTGTACATTTTTGGAGAATCTGAGTGTTGTGTTTTGCTCAGGAAAGAAAATAAATTGGATACAATGGCTTGATTTCAGTCCTTTTTTAGTAGCCCTGCTGTGTTTTACAATAATTTCTCCAAGGATAATGATAGATAGGAACCAGTTCGTTATTTAATGAGGCCGAGGAGCATCATGCTGAAGCTCAGTCGTGGAAAATGTAAATGTTTTTAGTGTCGATCCCAGCTGTTGCCACCGGTTCTAAGTAGCCACATCGAATGTGCACACACGCACACACGCACACACACACCTATGTGCCGACACAGGGAGCGGAGCTGTGGCTTTGTTGTAGAGAGTACACTTTTCTCCCATGTCAGGCCGAGACCTTTAGGATCCCTCGTCAAGATGCTCCTGCCAGTTACTGGGTAAAGTGCCTGCTCGTGAAAGACAGGGCTCCGGTCATGCTCTGACCCTCGTCCGTCTTTCCTTCCGGTCCCAGAAGGTACTCTACGTTCAGGTTTCCTCCCTTTGCCGGTGCTCTTACCTGTCTACCTGCAGCACCTCCTCTTTGCTCTGGGCCTGATGCCACGTATCCTCCCGAGAGGCCTAAAGGAGTTTTCCGTGTGCGTTCTTTAACATCCTGTTCACACCGATGCACTGATCGTGCCTGATTTTACCTGTTTCACCTCCAGTCCTCTGTTAATGACTCTTTATGAAATTTTCTCTGTTCAAATGACTGGGTGGTTTCCAGTCTCCTAATTGGCCTCTAGCCAGTGTAGATGTCCTCTGCCTAGAATGCCCGGCTGCACTTCTCCCTCTGATGTACCATACAGACTCTCCCAGGGCCAGCCCAGGGGATGCCTCCATCATTTATTCTACAAACATCTGAGTTCCTACTAGCGAATAGGGACTGGGGACATCTCTGGGGCTGAGACAGGGCTGCACCTCAAGAGGAGCTCCCAGACCGGAAGAAGAGAAAAATCAGCAATCAGGTGTGTTAAGAGAGGGAAGAGTGTGCCTGTGTGTGGTATTGGGGGAATGGGGTGTGACAAAAACTTAAAAAGAAAATTCTAATGTCCCTATGGAAGCTAAAGGGATAAATAAATGAAAAGGCAGGAAATTGACTTTTACATTTATTTACTACTTTCAGTTTAAGTGATGTCCATAATTTTGTTTTGTTCTGTTCCATTTGTGAATGAATATTCTTCCTCTTTCCACAAAGCACTTGAGGTGGGTAAGGTTTTCGTTCATCTCATCTCTCAATTCCTAAGGGCACAGACTGTCTTTTATTTGAATTATCTTGTACCCACAATGCCTGTCATTCAGTAGGTGCATAATAAATGTTAGTTGATTGAATCAAGGCTAATTATATTGAGTTGCTGTTCCCTGGTTGGTTTTTTACTCCCCAAATCAGTCAGTGTTTTCTTATGTTGACAGCTCATGAACAATTAGAAGTGCTTGATTTTGTACCTGAAATGTGAACAGAAAGGTTGTCCATCAACATGAGTGTTTATTCTTATTTATTTCTCTTCACCCATTGACAGATAATATCGACCGTCTCAGGGGTGCATCAAGCAGTGTTAGGTATTTTATAGACCTCAGGTATCCACCTATTATGGCTGCAGAAATGTAGGTTAAGTAACTTACCACGGCTGTGCCGGTAAACTGTGGCTGATCTCAACCATGAGTGCGGCTCCTGTGGTCAGTTAGGTGCCTGCCCCAATTGTGTGCACACGTGGAACTCACCCAGAAGCCTTTCGTGCTCTGGAGAGCCACAGTCGCCTGCTTCCTAGTCCTAGCGACACAGTCCTGTGTCCCTCCAGGCACATGTGAACAGGGTGAGGAGAACCTACAGAAGGGCCAAAAGTCTCTTCCCATTTTCTTCCTTAAGAAAAAGTCTCTCATCGAAGGGTAGCCACTTGCTGGCAAGTTGATCTTTGGTACCGGCTATGGTAAACATTTAATTGCATGAAAGTTCCTTTAAAGTTAAAGCTCAGGGGAATGTATGTGCACCTTTACACACTAACCCTCGTCTTCTCTGTTTCTTCTCAGGTGCTGTTACCCCCGTACGACGATGCCACTGTGAATGGCGCGTCCAAGGAGCCACCACCCCCTTATGTGTCTGCCTAAGCCTGAAAGTGGGGCAGAGCTGAGCGCAGCGGCTTGATTTTCAGACGTCAGAGCAATAGTTCTTTCATTTCACTTCTGGGTTGAGTTCTCTGAGCTTATTTGTTGCTGAAACGCTACAGTTTTAAAATTTAGATGTTCAGTTGAATCCCTCTTTAGTTTTAAAGATACGCTTCAGCTAGAGCACTGTGATAGACTCACTGTAGAATTCTTTGTATAGGGGTGGGGCGCAGCGGGCTTACCTAGTCTTCCCTGGTTTTCCCTAGACATTGAAACTTCCCAGCAGTGTGGATGAACCTGGAGTCAGAGAAGTCTGTACCTGCTGGGCCCCAGAGTCGGGGGGAATTAGTCATCCTTTATCTCTGTCTTCCCTCTGTCTCTTTTCAAAGTGTAAAATAAAATCGAAATTAGACGATGCTTTTCTTAAGCCATTCCAGTGTTTGAACAAACCCTTCTGGAACAGGAATGTCAACTGTGTAATCATTGCTCTAATTAGATAAATAGGAGTCCATATCTATATAAATAAAACAAGAATTTCCTTAAGATTCTTTTTGACTTAAAGTCAGTGACAGTTTGTATCTGCTGTTCAAGGATTTTGTCCATGGGCTAAATTGACACCCTTCAGCAATCCCAGCCAGTGACGGCAGCCGCTCTCCGATGGCTGTTCTTGCACACCCCGTGTCGGGGGTCGTGGAGTGGCATGTCCCATCTGTGTTACAGAGGTGGAACTGATTTGTTTAGTTTCGCATGGTATCTGGTGCTTCCTTCCTCCTGGCTTCCCATCCCTACCCAGGACCCTTCTCGTTAAGTATTTGCCTAATAGTATGAAACAAGATTTTCTTCTTCTCTCCCTGCAAGGAACATCCTACTGTTTTGAGATTCTGAGTATGCCTTGTCATCTTTGAAACATAAGACGGTCTTCAGAAAAATGGGGAAGTGTGCTTTTCTTGTGGAATGCTCGTATCTCGACTATCTGAATTTCAAGGGACTTTTATACATTTCATATGTTCAGAAGTCACAGTTCTCCTGTTTGTTCATTGTTGAGTGTGCTGTAAATGAAGGCTTTGCAATTAAAGTGACATTTGCCCACATCTGAGAAAATAACCTTTTGACTCTGTGGTCATCGTACCTAGGGACCCTTCCCACCCACATGTGGCCATGCCGACACACGTAGTTTGGCCTGAGGAGGCAGCTTTACAGCTTTTTTCACACATATGTATTTTTTTAATATTTCAGTGCTGATAAAATCAGAGCATCTTAGGCCAAGAGAAATGGAGCCAAACTGACCCGAGCTTCGAACGTTCCTAAACCCCACCTCTGCCGAGCTCCGCGTGCTCGGCTGTTTTGTGTATGGTGGTTTAGGTCCATGGTGTACTTTTAATAAGCAGTTCAGATTTTACTCCATGCCAAGGGAGATTAAATGAGAGAGGTGGGAGGGGAGATTTTTATCCCTGAGAATCAGCCTCGGTGATTTCTCTTGGTATATCTCGTGAGTGTTCTTTATAAACTCACCCTGAGAAATGCTGTTCCTGGAAGCTTTGTGCCCAGAAGACTCACACTAAGTTAATCATACTAAGAGGTGTTAGGAATGGAAAAAGGCCTCTTGGCAGTTTCACTGACCCTCGAAGGCACGTGGCATGTCACGGTGGTTTGCGTGTTCCTCCCTGTGATTTGCCAGCTCTTTGTCTAATGGTGGTGGTATGAAAAATGGCACACATGGGCAGGCAGAGAGAAGTGCTGATTTTGAGAGTCTGTGTAGGAGCCTCAGAGCAGATCTCGTTCACGTGACCCTCAGTCCACACCATAGAGTATCTCTTCGCTCTGAGCATCCACGATGGGGCTGGCCATGCGGCCTTTGCTGCCTCACAGCATCACCCAGGCTGCGCGAAAGCTGCCTCCATAGTTACCTCTGCAGGGTAAGGAAATCATCCTCCCAATTCCGCTGTGGGGAGGTTGTGATGTTTGGACCCCACAGAGGGGCGCCTGGGTGGCTCTGTCAGTTAAGCATTTGACTCATGGGTTTTGGCTCAGGTCATGATCTCACGGTTTGTGAGACTGAACCCTGCGTCGGGCTGTGCACTGACAGCTTGGAGCCTGTTTGGGATTCTCCGTCTCCCTCTCTCTGCCCCTACCCTGCACTCTCTCTCTCTCAAAATAAACTTTGAAAAATAAAAATAAAATGACTCTAAAGAGCAGATTCCGTGACCCAGCAATTCACTGTGTCTTTATCTTATCGCCAATCTCATTAAATACCTTTCTTAAATGTATTTTAAATCCAACTTTCGGGGTCCCTGGGTGGGTCAGTCGGTTGAGCATCTGACTTTGGCTCAGGTCATGATCTCGTGGTTCATAAGTTTGGGCCCTGCGTCGGGCTAGGATTCTCTCTCTCTCCCTCTCTCTGCCCCTTGCTTTCTCACTCTCAAAAATGAACATTTAAAAAAATTAAAAAAAGATCCAGCGTTAATATCTGCCCCCTTTCTCCTCTGTTTTGCTGTCTGCAGTCATTACCTCCGTGGTTCCCATGCCTGTACGCCTCTTAGTCACTAAACTGATGAGAGCGCCTCCGTCTTTTTCATCTCGACCACCCTCCCCGGATCTTTATTCCCAGGTCTTGAATGTTCAGCTCAGCACCAGGTGTGCAAATGGACCCACCAAGAGGCAGCCCATGTAGAGAGTTTTGAGTCAGTTTTCTGGGCCAGAGGGAACGGGGTGCTTAACACCTTTCAGCTTAGATGTGATCTGTCAGCCCTACAAACTGAGCTTTCATTGAACAAGCTGGTCAGATTTCCAGAATGCCCAGCCATATGGAAGAGTTTTAAGACCCAACAGACTTGCCCACCCCCTCCTGTCCCTTCTTCCAAACAAACATCATACGCAGCATCTCCTCCCCAAATCTGGTGTCCTTGTCCCTGCCCTCCACCCTGTCTTGTTGTCTCCTGAGAATGCAAGAAACTTTACCCCTCCCATCCTTTTTGCCCCACCCATTTTTTCTTTTTTAATTACTCGTCTTTCTGGCCCTAAATATTTTTAGTTTGCTCACCCAAACCACACCTCATTTCATTTGTCTTTCCTCTTCACTCTCAGTTTGTTAATCAGCAATACTTCTTAGTAATGATCTCAATAGACCATCTTTATGGACTGTAACCATTAAAGTTGTTGTCCCCGTAGAGGGATGTGTCGTTTTTGAAATATTCATCATTCAAGGGGAAAAAAAAAATCCTGTGCAAACTGAGCTTTTGTGATAAAGGAAAACTAATGAGACTGTGAAAACATTTCCCTTTTTAAAAAAAAAAAAAAAAAGCTGTGAGTTTTTGCAGCCTGTCTGGAAACGGACTTAAATATCATTAAATAATACGGCTGCTGGTCATGTAGACAGTCTCTAATGTTCTGGAGGGGAGAGAGCAGTGTCTTTGCCAAGGTATCAAAAAAAGAGTCATGCAGAAACACTGCCAGCATAAAGTACAAGCTAGGCCACTGTAGCACTCCCCACCTTCACATCTAACATGCACCAAACAGTGTGCCTGTAGCTGTGTAAAATGGTTTTTTTGGCAGCTCAGACACATGTACTAAAAGGGAAGGAAAAAGGAGGCATTGCGAGGATGTCTCCACACCCATGGAATTCACTTAAAAGTATCTGCTCACTGGCCAAGTTTTCTGCCAAATGACTCTGGACTATGGAAGCCAGCCAGACCTGTGACCTGCCCAGAAGCCCACGCATGCCTTTTGCTGACTGGAGTACCCAGACATCAGAAGAGAGAAGCTGTCGTTGGCCAACCCAGAAAAAATTACATCAAGGCAAGAGCCTTAGCGCTATCCACCCATCAATGTGATCCCAATTAGCAGGAACAGCTGCTGCTTCAGGATGAGGAGTTGGGCTCAAAACGGCGTAATGGACTCCAGTTTGGTTTGTTTTATCCCGTCTAAAACTTACACATGCTTTTTAAAAAGTCACTTATGGTACACACACGGTTTTTGTGTATTAAGTAAGCTTATTATGGGAACCTCTTTAACTCAGCAAATGCAAGCGTAACATCTATTCCTTGCTGTGTGCCAGGACGTCCAAGGGCATTGCTGCAACAGAGCAAAGAGAGCTTGGAAGAGAACTGTGTGAGCCTGGGGAGATTGGGCGTGATTAGCCAGCATTGAAGGTTTGAGCCACATTTCTCTCAGGAAAGGTTCAGATTGAATGGGTCTTCATCTTGTCTGCTACTCAATGCTCCCACCTCCGATGCTGTGAAGTCTCAACTCCCACTCCGCCTGCGCAGACCTGGAGAAGTCCTAGGTTCCCAGATTCTGGGATCCTAGATTTGGGACATCCAGCCTAAAGAGCTGCTCCCCTGTGTGGTGTCCACCTGAAGAAGACAAGGGAACAAGGGCTCTGCCCTCTGGGCCACCAGCAACAGTACAAAGGACCCTGTGTCCTGTGTGGCGGAGATGCCCCTCTGACCCGGTGTGGTGGCCTTTGTGTGATGTCACTTTTCACCCGATACTCATTTTGGCTAAAGGAATGTGTTTGTAATGATGCTTTGTCATTAATATACTTTCACAGGATGTTCCTTTAGTTCTTTTTAACTTCAGGCTTTTTAAAATTACGTAGATCTTCTGGGGGCGCCTGGGTGGCTCAGTGGGTTAAAAGTGATCGGCTCTTGATGTCGGCTCAGGTCATGACCTCGCTGTCATGAGATTGAGCCCCATGTCAGGCTCCGAGCGCTGAGTGCACAGCCTGCTTGGGATTCTTTCTCTCCCTCTCTTTCTGCCCCTCCCCTGCTAACACGCATGCGCTCATGCTCTCTCAAAGTAAATAAACATTTTTAAAAATGACACTTTTCTACATAGAGCTCCCTTCCATAAATAATAAAAGCAGCTCTAACCCTGCTTTTATCAATGCTCAGTCTTCTCTATCTTGATGACTTATTTCATATTCACTGTGCCCCAAGTGGAAAACTGGCCTCTATTTCCTCAGATCTGCGCCTGTTGACTCGTGTGTCAGCTAGTGGCCTCCCCATTCCAGTCTTCCTTCCCTCCTTGAGATGTAGGTCCTCTGCTTTGTCCCTCTCACTCTGTTTCCTCATATCCGATCAGTCTCCAGCCCTGTGGCTTCTATCTTTTGATCAGGTGGAATGACATTTACCATTTACTGAGCCTTTCCTATGTGCCAGCCAATCTGCT